AAGGTCAAATACTTAGGTTTGCATGAGCACTTCAGTGCTCAGATGGTATTAAGTTACTGCATTGTGTATACCTTTAGCTGATAAAAAGTACCTCTGGGGGGAGAAGTTACCTTCTGTTACAAAGCTGGGTGTTCTGGCTGTCCTGCTAAGCAGATGTGAGTGGTGGACATTGTAATTTCCAAATCCAGAAGCGGGGTAAAGAGGTGAATGTAGCTACAAATTACTGTTTCAGGCAAAAATAATCCTGAAGGATGTGCAGTAAAATAGCCTTACCTGCATCAATCCCAAATTTGTAATCCTTGATATTTAAATGAATGAAAATCGGGGGCACTACTGTCTTAATTTTATAACTCTAGTCTTCTGTTCCTTTCTGTTCCTCCCCATCTAGCCATCTTTCCCTCTCTTACTATTGCTGTTGTTCACAAAAGATCATTAAACTCATAAGCTTTTAATGGCTAGATACCAGCCATTGCAGAGAATTAGCAAAAGATGAAAGGCTGGAGAAGAATTGAGGAAACTTGTAACATTAACCAACATTGCTGCCCAAAGGAGAGAACACTAATGGATAAAAACATAAAGCACAGTCTTGACTTGGTCTAAACCCGTGTATTTACATCCAGAGTCACTGAGGTCAGAGCATGCTTGTCTGAGGGCAGTTACAAGCACATAAAGGCTAACAACACTGTTAGTGATAAACAGCAGTGGGTTTATGAAACAGGAGTACAGCAGACAATAACCTTGATGCAATTAGATAATTAGTGGGCAAAAGGAATGCAGTGAATGGACTGACTCTGGACCATGCATGGGCTTTTGACACAAAACTGTGCAAAATCTTATTAGGGAAATTAGATCGAATTGGTTTTGATACAAATCCTGTGAAATGAATCATGGATTAAATGACAGAGTGGAAACAGAAGGGCTAGAGATCTTTATCCTTCTGCAAAGATGGTGTCCAAAAGAACACTGCTTTGACTGTAAATACTCATTAGTGACCTGGAAGAAACGTAAAAGTGGTCAGTCAAATTTACAGTTGACAGAACCAAAAGATACTAAAAAAATAAATCAGCATTGAAAAAAGAAGTGCTAGGCTGAAAAAATGAGCATTGTGAACAGGCTTTGGTAAAACAAGTGATAATGAGCACTATGCAGTTCAAAGATGATACTGGATGTACTTTGGAACAAGGAGAATCTCCAAATTTCATGTTGTGCAGAGCATGGTGGCAAAAGCAGCTTATGTTCAGAGAGCTATCAAATTGTGCGAGCTGATGTGCAATCTGATGTCTGGCAAAGCTACTGCTCAGTTGGTCCATATGTCTTCCTGGCTGTGTGCTTTCCAGAGTGACTCTCCCCTGTAGTGCTGCAGCATTGCACTGTGCAGTTCAGGGCACCTTGCTGCAGCAGAGACCCAGAGAAGCTGGAACAAATCCAGAGAAGGACCACAAAGATGCTAAAGGGATTAGAAGGAATGACCTATGATGAGGAAAGGTGAAAAGAACGAAATGTTTAGAACCTCTAAGCCTGTTACATGGGCACAGAAATAGTAACGGAGTTTCCTGTGCCAGCAGAGGAGAGTTGGATCAAGTCTCTCTCCTTTTACATTCCTATTAAGGTAACTAGAGCCAAGCAAAATGGCTGTTCATCACTTTGAACTCTTTGCAAAAAACATTTAGCTGTTCTTCTTAAAGTTCAAGATGTTGTATCTCATTGCCAGGGGACACTCTGACTGTTTAAAAATCAGCACAAGATCTCCATGACACTTGCAGAAAGTCAGAGGCCAGAAAAGAAAAGCACGTGCTCTGGAATGGCTGGAGTCACCTTAGCTGTAAACTTTGATCTGTCTTGGTGTTCGGGGCTTTTGCTCTCCAGTATGCATTCACATCCAACCAGAACTCGCTATGTACTGCTGCCTGCTGGAAGGGAACAGAAGGGTCCTCAGCTGTAAGGATGTAGGGGGCTTGTTTCTTTATTCACCATCAAACACTCACTGTTTGCATGCCTTGGGAAAGAAGGCTCCTTATCTCCCTAGGCTCTTTTATTTTCCTTTTTTTTCCCCTTCTTTTTTTAATTTTTTTTTTTTAATTTTATGTTTTTATGTTTTGTTTTCTCTCCACTGAAGGAAAATACCTTGGTAAGCCCTCTTGAGGTCATCCATGAATGTTGGGTTATTTGAGAAACAGAAGTTGCAATTTAGGCTCCTCTGACGGAATCTGCCAGTACAGCTCATTTCCCCGTCATTCCTGTTTCATAGTGTTTTCCTCTGTCTGCCTTGAAAATTACAACTCCAGCTGCTCTTACCATGGAGTTCCACGGTGCAGTACAGTGTTTTATGGTTGTTTTGCCTTCCATTTTAACCTTAATCTCATGTTGCTGTGCCCAGTGATCTTCATTTCTTTACCACAGATGCACTTCTCAGGTAGGGAGAGGTTCCAGAACCTGCACAGCAGGTTTCAGCTGTGCTGTGAGATGCTAAGATCTAGTCTCAGCTAGCAAAGTTTCATCTTCCTTCACACAGTCAGCTGTTGTTACACCAGAAGATCTGCAATATGTCTAAGTGCCCTGTGGGAATAGAGACGAATGCACCTGCAGCAATTTCTGTAACTGCTCCATGACCTCTAGTTCATTGTGGCCCTCCGGGCAAAGCATGGGCATTTATCAACTCATCACACTGTCTCTGAGAGGGACCAAACCCTGGATTCCTCTCAAGTAACACCAGGCAAGGCAGCTGAGGAACGTGAGATGCCTGCCCATATTCTCAAGGTCAGCAGTCTTGCCAAAAAACAAACTTGGCTGATCGATCCCAGAGATAGGAGATGAGGTCAAACTTTGAGGAGGAAACAGAGAAGGGAAAATTAGGAGATACGTAGGTCAAATGAGATCATACGGATGCAGGACTGTGAATTTGCTGCATATCAAACATCTATATTCCTATCAACAGACACACAGATGTGATATATAAGAGTGTGCACTCCAGCCTTGCTGATTCACAGAATGTTTTGTCCCGTCCCCTGGCAGATTTGACCTCTTGGCAGAAGGAGTTGCCACAAATACCAGGTAAATAGGCTGAAACTGAAATAGAAATAGAAATTGCCCACATGACCATGGTGTGGTAACTTTAAATAAGCAGAGCTTCCAAGAAGTAAAGTCAAGCATCTCCAGTCAGTCAGGATTCTTTGGCCATGTCATCAGGAAAATGCATGTTTAGTTTTTCTTGAAACCTTTGACAAATTGTCTTGCTGAAGGGAAAATTTAACCTCACAGTTTAATACTATTATCAATTAAAAGGTGTCAGAGACCCTACACAGAAAAGAAAGAGAAGTCAATTTTCAGTATGATAAAGGTTAACATGAATCACCCACAAAGATCAGTATTGTGGTGTTTGATCCATGTGTTAATGATCTGGGAAGTGGGTGAACAATGAGACTGCAGGTGAAATCAAATTACCAAGGAAGACTGAAGAGCTCCAGAAGATCCTAATAAAGCAGGGTGTGTGGACTGCACAGCATAGTGGCAGATGAAATACACTGTTGACTATTGCAAAACATTGCACACCAGAAGGATTAATTTGATATTTCAAACATTTTAATAGATTCTAAATTAACTGTAGCAACTCAGGAATAGGATCAAGTGTTGCAGTAAATAACTTCTGATATTATTTGTTGAAGAAATGGTAACAATTTAGATTTTCATTTGAAGAGGGGGAAAAAAGCCAACAGTGCAAGGAGTTACATAATACATAGACAGAAAATAATATTGAAAATACTGTAACGTCACTAGGTAATTGATGGCGTGCTTTTGTCTTGTCTACTGTCCAGATCTTCATCTGGAGAAGTGATGGAGCAGTGCCAGTTTCATGCTACTGAGGAGCTGGCTCATTGAACTCTGTTCTGGACTGAACAGAAATAGCCAGACTAGAGGAAGCTCAGAGATGGATGATGAAGCAGATAAGAGATCTGCAAAAACTTCTACATAAAGAGCAATCATATAGATAATGAAGAGCTGAATGAGGAGAACATGGAAAAACTACATTTCCTGAGAAGAAAAGTGAGGAGATGTTCAGGGAGCCTGACAGGCTGCAAATATTTTATAGGCAAATAAAACCGGAATTAGTTTGTTCATAAACTGCACAAGTAATCCCATTGATAAATATCATAAAATAAACATAAATGAGTAAATTCATTGCTGAAAATATCATAAAATTTAGCAGTCTTCCAAAAAAAGACTGAACACTTTTATAAGGAATAAAACTATCTGTGACTGAAATAAATATGAAGAGCTTGAAAAGCTGGCAAAGTTCTTTTCATAAACTTAAGAGTGTAACCTCTGTTTAAGAAGTGGGAATCTGTGTGTCCATGCAAAAGCTCAACACTAGTAAATAGAAGAAAGATTAAGATTTGAGACAAAAGAAACTTTTGATCAAATAACTTTCATTCTGTTTCTAAGCTCCTCTTTCAATGATGATAGTGCAGCAGGTTGGGATAAAGGGTGAGAAAAGGAGTCCAACTTGAAAATTAATCAAAGACTTCTGTATTACAAATGAAAAAATGAAAATCCAATCTGAGCAGGTCCTTTCTGCAGAGTCTGCTACTGAACTTTGCATAAAGCCAGGACAGCCCATTCTCTATTAACCAAACATCTTTTTCACCTGGTCTGCCACCAGCAAGCTTGTTTCTTTCTGCTGTCTGGGGTTAGATGGTGCTCTGGGTAGATTGTACTTCATCAGCATTCACGCCCCTTCCCAGCACTGCAGCCTGTGAACAGCCCGAAATGATGATCTACACAAAGAGCTTTGTCTCTACTCTAGTGTGAGTGTGTGGGGAACAGGTGGGCTGGTCTTAGTCAGTTGTACCCATGTTCCTGAAGAAGAACCCGCACGGGGTTGAACTGCCTGAGCCAACTGGAGTTGGACTGAGGTGGCAAAAGGAGGGCTCTCTTTTGACTAAGCCTGGAACCAGGTCTGGCCAGGTGGTTGCTGAGTGCCTTTGCTCTCTCCCTGCAGGCTGCTCGGCAGAATGGCCACGGAGGAGCGGCACCTCTCCTCCAGCTGCGGGTCCTTCATCAAGACCGAGCCCTCCAGCCCATCCTCTGGCATCGACGCCATCAGCCACCACAGCCCAAGCGGCTCCTCCGACGCTAGCGGGGGCTACGGCATCGCCATGGGCGGCCACCCCAATGGCCTAGACTCGCCACCCATGTTCAATGGCACGGGGATTGGCGGCGGGTCCTGCCGCAAGCGTTACGACGACTGCGCCAGCGCCATCATGGAGGACTCACCCACCAAGTGCGAGTACATGCTCAATGCAATCCCCAAGCGGCTGTGCCTGGTGTGCGGGGACATTGCTTCTGGGTACCACTACGGCGTGGCTTCCTGTGAGGCATGTAAAGCCTTCTTCAAGAGGACTATTCAAGGTATGGTGGGAAGGAATGGAAACTGAGGCATTCACTCCATAGAAATAAAGGGATGTGGCCCCAGACATTGCTGAGACTGTGGTGTGAAAAAGGGGGGAAGGGAGAATGAATGTAATGCACTTAACTCCCCGTTCTTTTGTATGCTTCCTCTCTCCTCCTGCTCAGTTCTGGTCCTTCCAAATCAATATGGACATGGACTTAGGCTATGTGATGGTAGGAACCTTTGCCAAGTTCCTAGCCTGACTGGCTACCACAACTGGGTATCTGGACTAGTGGCTCTTCCTGCCTCTGCTAGTGGCACTGATACTATGAGAATGTGGCAGCTAGTGGTGTAAGGCCTGGAAAGAAAATGCTTTGCCTTCTAATGGTGTTTTATGGCCCATTTGAAGAGTAGATGCCTCTGACAAGAGATGGAATTTATGTAGACATATCTGCACCTTGAGGTGAAAGCTCCAGCGTTACAGGAGTAGAGAAATTCTTTGTCCTACCAGTCCTGATATGTAGTCATGAACTCCAAACCTCAGCACAAATCTGGACAGAGAACTTTTGTGAGTCAGTATTTTTCTCCTTTTCCAGTTTCACCAACCTTTTTCATTAAGATGCAGATTCTTGGAAGATAAAAAAAACAGGCACTGAAGAAGATGAAGTTTTTGTCAGCCTCACTAAGGATGAGCAATTCCTCAGGCGATTTTAAAAACCTCAATGCACGCATGTGTAGGTGAATTGCAGTGTGTTGCTCCTTCATGTACAATTCATGTATGAGGAGTATGGCTGTGTCCTGACTGCTAAAAGTGTGCTTGCAGATGTGCACATGTGCAGCTACAATATAATCAAAAGCAGGAGTGCATCCAAACAACCTCCAAGATTCATGGATGCTTGGGTATACTTATATATACATGCCCCATGTGAGCAAACATGCCTGGATGTACAGATACTCCCTTTATTTCCTCCACTAACTGGAAAAAGGACAGGATCTTTCATCTTCCAGTGGAAGTATAGTGTGTTTGCCCAAGTATGGTGTGCTGACTGAAGGCAGGTCTACAGTGAGCAGGCAGCTGTGCATTTACTTGGCTGCTGGCTGGGGTTAATCCACTACATCAATACTTCCTTGCCTCCTGTGAAATTAAAGAAATGCATATATGGAGAGACCACTCACTTTGTTAATTGGATGGATCTGATTACACTCTGTTGCTGGGGATGTTCAACTCTTGAGCAGTACAGGGTGCAGTTTATCCCAGGTCTCTGCAGAAGTCACTATATCTATCTTGTTTTCATAGATTTTAGATATCTCTCCTTAATGTGGAAATACAGCTGTGGAAATAATTACTCTGCCCCACTGATACTTCCTTCTTTATTATGCCATGGCCATCCCTAGGGCATAGGCTTGTTCCCTGGCAGGGTTTCTGTGAGTTGTCATTGCTGAATCTCTGTGATTGAATGTAAACTTTTACTTGCATTTCTGTCAGCACTGACTACATCCCTTCTCCAGCCCTTGGACCCTTCCTAGTGTTTCTTTTAGGCACATTCAGGTGCTAAAACAGGGACAGGGTCTGAAGCAAAGTCCTGGGGTCTCCTAATACAGGAAGAGACCAGATAATTAACTCCTCATGGGAATGATACTGGAGGACCCCTGTGGCAGAACAGAAGAGACCTCAAGAAGGAGAAAAAGACAGGAACTTTTGAAAAGTTCTCAGACATAATCAAAAGAAAACGATGCACATGTAGAAATACATGGAGCCTGTATCAGCCAGGTGATATGCCAGCTGACTGAATCCCCAGAGGGGAGAGTGCTTCCCTCCATCTTCCTTTCCCTAGCACAGCCATATTCTTTCTCCTTGTGGTTCCCTAATTGATTGTCTGTTAACGTGTAACAGATGGGGCGAAAGGAGTAAGTGGAAATTTCTCTCACCCTGTCATCAGCTTGGGCTGGCAACTGAGGTACCAAAATGCTTTTATTCCTAAGAGTGTGAGAGTCAAGTGTGCTGTGCCTGAGGGTGAGCAATTTCATCTCTGCAGCCGAAGGCTGAGCCCAGGGAAGTGGGCAGCAAACAGGTGTGCGGACTTTGGTTGAGTCGAGAAAAGACACAGTTCCCAGGGCTCTGCTGCTGTGGACGTGATATCTGAGTATAGCCCTGGGTGTGCAGGAAGAAAGGATTTAAGGATCTCATAAAAGAGGAGTGGCAAGAGCATTTCCAAAAGGTATTTATCCTGCAACTCTGTTATATTCAGTAGCTGTTTTAGGCATCTAACAAAGTGAAAACATCTTCATCCAGGCTACCTAACATTGTAGGCTTTGCAGAAAGCATGCAGATGTGTATGTTATGTAACTGCTTTCCTGGTATCCTAGTACCAAAATCTTGCCCTGATTCAGTATGTGGGAGCAGCATTGACTTGCTTTGAGCACCAAGATGGAGCAATAACCCCAAGATTTCCCAGATGCTCAAGAGATGAGATAGGTAAATTCATCATCAGGCATTTGTGGTCTTGGACAAGCCACTCCACTTCTCTGTGTCTGAGTATTGACAGGTGAAAAAGTAATGAGTACTATGACAATACTTACTCTGCTGGTATTACATCTGCATGCTGCCATAAAAAGGGTCTAAATCTGTGCTGAGTTACTAAACTACTGCAGCCCTATCTAGATGCCCCTGATCATGAAGAAGAATTTCACATGAAGTCTCCCTTCCAGCTAGCCTCCCCTCCCCTGACACAAATTACCCTGTGTCTATTAGGGGTTTTTTAGATGCATTAACTCACATAAAACCTGCATATCTTGAGGCAAGAGTACCTTGCAATAGCCTTTCGATTTCCCCTGCCACTGTAGCAGCAGCAGGAATAAAGGACATCCAAGCTGCAGACCTTCTTTAAGCATGATGACTTTTTTGCGATTCACTTTTTCACTCGGCCAGGTGAGGCCAGGCTGTCATGGACAGCACAAGGGCTGCTGCTTTTGAAGTGATGGGGAGAAGATAGACTGAGAGCCAGCATGGACATGGCTCATTATCTGAGGTCACTAATATTGCTGTGTGGGAGTTTTCTGTCAGTAGGATTTTTCCAAAGAAAAGTGGAATTTTTACCAAGTCAGATTTCCCCAAGAAAAATTTTCATGATAGGATAAAAGAAAAGAATTCAGGAAAATGCAAACCATTGATTCCCTTCTAGCTGAAATGGAGTGTTTGGTTTTCCTGAACTCGGACAGGAAGACAGGATCTCCCAATACACCTTAACCTGCCCCACAGGTTATGGGGGAGTGCCACACCTCTGTCCTTTCTTATGTTGTGTTACATAGCCCAAGGATCAAGGCCTGGAAACCTGTGTGTCATTTCCACTCGCAGTGTTGGCAATGCTTGAGAGAGAAAAGTGAAAACCTGAGGTGAGATGAGAGAACATACTCTTGGGCTGCAGGTCTTTCTCTCTGAACATCATAATTTGAACCCCAGGATAGGACTTCCCATGCTTTGAGGCAGTCAGAAATCCTAAACTGACCTGAAGCATTTTCAGTCAGCTAGACTGTCTGACAAAATTTTAATCCTGTTTCTCTATCATTGTACTGATTCATGGGATTATATTCTATTATATATATTACATTCATGGGATTATATGGCAGTTTGCATTTACCTTACCTGACTGTGAATATTGTGGAATGTGCAGTCTAGTGCAGATAGAAGAGAATCTGAATTTCAGACATGTTTAAGGTGCTCAGGAGAGGTCTGATTTGAAGGAAAAGATTTTATATTAGCTGAATGTAAAGGAATGGATCTGTTAAATGAAAGATAGTTTGGGATATTTATAAATAAAACCTCTTAATTTCTGTTCCATGGAAAACCTAACTAATCCTTTCATCTAAATTTAGACAAAGACGAAAACTGGGTTTTTTACAGGCTAGAAATTCTCAAAGTCTATTCCTTCTCTTAATAGTTTGCTCAGTAGGTAGAGCATTATGTATCAGTCAAATATATATTCTCTTTTGTTCATTAATTGTTGCAACTAGTAGGTAGTTTTGCCTATTTTAAATATTAACTAATAACAGTGCTGTGTAATGACATGACTCCTTTATTATTCCATATACTCATGACTATGACTACCTTGCATCTATTTTTCATCTTCAAATGGTGAAAATAAAGGCTATTTCTAAAATGACCCATTATTATAAAATAAAAGCTGAGCAAAACATTGCAGATTCAGAGAAAGGAGACACATTCACCATCATCTTCTGGACAGGAAAGTTGTGTGTTAGGCAAAGTGCCTGTGTCTGTGGATTTCCAGCTGGAGTCTTGCAAGCTTCAAACTCAGTGAGTGTAGCAACAGAACTGCTGTGTTAGGATGCCTTTACACCAATAAGGGGCTTAAAAAGTGGATAATGCAGCTCAGAAGACTTGCAGAGATTTATAACAGGCTTGTAATAAAGTCTTCTAGGGCTTTCTGGTTGTTGTGGTGCTTAGAGTGGCTCCCAGGAAGAGGAGAGGTTGACAGAGTTTTTCCTGAGCAGAAGAGCGTTACAATCCACATGCACAAAGGAGGTTTTGTGTCCCTGCAGTGGCAGCCACATCAGCTGGGCACTGTCCTGACCTTCTGTCCTTCTCAGAAACGTGCCTGCTACTTTTCAGGTGGGAGTTCAGAGCTTTACAAAAACTTCTAAATCTTACTCAGGGAAAGTGCAGTATTTAATGATCTAGTGCTTGACTGCTGCTTACTATTCACAAATCTATCACTTGAATTTAAAAACCCATCTTCAGTGCAACCTCAGCTCTATTAGTCTAGTGTTTTCTGTTTGCCTCAGTACATCCTGCACAGTGAGCTCTGTGCAGAAGGATCTTTCCTGTGGAAGTTCTGTAAAATATTTCTGTGTCTGAAAACCTACAGACAAACTTGCTGCCAATAGGGAGCCCCAGAACCCCTATGTGTAAACAGGAGGGCTGATTTGAGTGAGGTTCTGTGAAATGTCCAAGCCCTCTTTTGTGAACAGGAACCACGTGTACCACCCTGAGGAGGCAAACAATGCTGATGATACAGGTACGTGTATCCTGTTTTCCTCATAGTATCATTTGAATCCTTTTCTTTGAAAGCTGAGGCTTAAAAATTAACTTCTTACCTCATGCAGATCACTGAGAGATTTTCCTCTGATTTTAACGAAGTACCTCTCTTCACACCAGGACTTGAGCTATGACGCCTTGGTTAGAAGGACTAATTGAAGTGAATAGCAATGAAGAAGAAATGAGAAAAAGCAAGATGGGATTTTTTTAGCAATCAGAAGCTGAAAATTATTTAAGGACAGTCTTGGCTATTTTTATATAATCTTTCCTGAGTTTCCTTGCAGAAAGGCTTTCTAGAAAGGTAGCATCAGTAAGCAGGGAGTAGCTTATGTCCTCAGTGCTGTACTGATTTCAAGCCCAGTTCTCCTGAGGACCCTATCCCTAATTTAAGAAGAAGATGGGTGGAACTTTACTCCCAAGCTCAGGGAGATTTTCTTGTCTTCCCACTCCATCCTGTTCCAGAGATATAGGGTGAATATTGAATGACCAAGTTTTGGTGTGCAGTTTTCATGTGCTGCTATTATATGTGCACTAGAAATTATGTTCCAAATTGTTTAACAGTCAGAGGTCTAATTTTGCAGAAAATATGATAGTTTTGCAGTTCTCCAGCAATAAAAAACCATGATCTGTCACTTTAATAGTCCTTTGCTATTTTGTAGCATCTCTCATCTAAAGGCTTTAAAGTACAGTTACACCTTAATAATGAATAAAGACTCACAATCTCTCCAGAAGGTAGGTTTGGTGTTCATTTCATTTTGCAGATGAGCAAACTAGGACATGGAGAGGAAGAGATTTGCTCTCCAAGGTGATATATAAAGGCTTAGAAGAAATCCAAACTCTGATCTGTTCACCTACCACTTGATTTTTGAAGCAATTTTTTAGGTAAATCTTGTGCCATGCCATCGGTGAGGTTCTACCATTTTTTTCAGATCAAGTGTAAATATTTTCTAAGTAAAGGAAATCTCTCTAATAAGCAACAGCTCAAAGCAAGGCCTTGTCTATTGAACAATCCCTTTTTTTGTCCCTTCTGTCTAGGGCACATAATCTACAGTTCGTGACACACAGAGACTTGACTCACATTCTGTTGTTGCATACAGAGGTGTGTGCACCTTTGTGTGCTTACACTCTTCTGCAGGACTTTGCAGCATCCCCAGCTGCTGCAGTGAAAGGAAGCTCTCTCCGAGGCCCCTGTGCTGGCAGCTGGGCTGGTGGTGTGACTGCCAGCCACTGGGAGGCTGTTGGAATTTCGATGAGTTAATCTCATCACTTTATCACAGGGCACTTACAGAAATTACAGGGAGCTGTGAGCAACTCACTGTGCTGGCAGGCAGCCCCAGGACCCATAAAAGAAATTGAGACACACACACACACACACAAAAAAAAAAAAAAAAAAAAAAAAGAAAAATATCCAAGATCTCTGGTAAACTTTTGGAAACAATAGTTTTTTCTGGTCAAGTTCTGCTTGGGTAATGCTGATTGTGCTTTCCCTGGTGATGCTCCTGATTTCTGCAGTAATGGCAGGCATTTCCCCCAGCTGTGACTCTCAATCTCTGCAGTGCACAGCATGGTTTTGGGCCTGAAATAAAGAACTGATATAAAGGACCTGATATAGACAGCTGCTTATCCAAGCTGCTCATAGTACCTTCACATACTCTGACACTCTCCCATTTAGTTGTGATGTAGGTTTTGTAGACGCTTTCCAGTACTACACTTGTCAAAGGATCCAGGGAGCAGAGGCATGGAGAAGCCTGGGGATCTGCTTGACACTGTGGAGGGACCTTGATCTTCCAGATCAGAGCTGTCACTTTCTCCTACTGCTATAAAGGCTTAGTGCCCTTACTGTAGTGTCTCTGTGTTAGGGGACAAATTTTTGGGTTTTGGACCATAAAACAAGAAATCTTGAATCTCTCCAGAGCTCTGATCCTGGCTTTGGTGAGAAAGGTTGACATTCAAACAAAGGCAAAACCTCCCAAAGTGAGACTGTGTCTGAGTAAGGTTTGCTCCTTCTCTGTTCCTTCCTGTGTGGGGCACAACAAGTATCTGATCATGAGATCAGGGCCACCATACTCACGGGTCTGTAATGTGCTGGAGGTCTGTGTCTAGAACAGGAATTGGTTTATTACTTTGAGATCTAGCTTGAATCTCAATTTCCAGCTCTCTGAGAATGTTGATACATGGCTGGCTATTGAAATTCAGATGTTGCACAATGACGAAATACATCCTGAATGGAAGCAACTTGGGCAGCACACTCTGCTCTTGCTGACAAACTGCATTTGGGGGCAGAGGAGCAGTGGGGAGAGGAATGGGGTGGCTGGGCTGAAGCTTAGGGGGAAGTTGCAAGTTTTGTGACAAAATAAGAAGCAAGAGGCAAAATGTTTATAGCTAGTAGGCTGACCACCTTTAGGCTTTGGGGGTTGTGTGCTCCTGGGGTTTCACTCAGCATGGGCCAAGAATAATGAGATAAATCAAGTGGTGCTTGCTTTCTTTTGATTCTGTGCTCTGTTTTTCCACGCAGAGATCCAGAGGGCTTTCCAATAGCTTAGTGAACCCCAAGTTCTGGTTACCACCCCCAGAGATTGATATGTATCAGATTGTTGATCTTTATTTAGAGGAGGGAATGGTCTTGCAAAAACCACAAAAATGCATTACAAAAGTCAGAATAAAAATCAATTCCTGTCCCAGTATTACTAAACTGTAAACTCTGCTTCTAATCTGATGCTATACAAAGTCCTTACTGTGTGTTCTCTCAGCTCTTACCTACACTCTCCCTACAGCTCTGATTGAACTCTCAAACCTCAGTTTCCTACTCTAAAGCATTAAACCAGCTTTTCCATTGTTCCACTGAGATGTAGAGCTTAGGTACCTTTTTCAGTGCTGCCTGATTTACCAGTAACTAGACTGCCTTAAATGTATTGTCATTGACAATGCATCAGTGCCAAGTTTTGATTTCCAGTTCAGCTCCACAGCAAACATTGAATAGCCCTCTCCAGAAACATCAGCTCAATGTAAATGGCATGATGGAGACAGCCATTTCTGTTTGTTGTCTTCTAGTACTACCTAACACTGTGATCCAGCATAATTCCACTTACATCCTCCCTTGCATCCACGTTTTGGTTATATTCTTGGGTTATGATAAAATGTGATGTGATTAGAAATAAATTTGGGGTGCTTCTTTCTCTTTTTGTCTTATAGGCAGTGATGAGGGGGGATCATAAATAAAAGGGAATGAGGAAAGAAAAGATAATGCTCAGTGCAGAGGATGAGAGCAGGTGCACGAGGACTAATAAAGTAAAAATGTAAAAGTTTGCAGAGAGAACCCATGTTCATTTTACAGGACGTCTTACCCAGCTTTCTCAATGCAGACATATTGCTTCCCTGCTACCTGTAGTATGCCAGCTGGCAGGAGAAAGCAAAGGAGGAAAGCTCCCTGGTTCCCTAAGCAGGACAAGAAAAGGCAGGTGACATCCATCCCACAGATATGAAGCAAGACTGGCAGCAAAGGAAATTCTAGTAATGTTTGAACTGCTCCTACTCTCATCCCTGGACCTCAGGGAACAGTACAAGTGACAAAGGGTGGAGCACAGGGGATGACGACATGCCTGAAGGACACATGCCTGGAAGCCCAGCAGTGCAGTCATCCCCTTGGCTAGGTCAGCAGGGTAAAGTCTCAGAGGATGTGTGTAAGCAAACATGCAACATTTACAGACTGGTGGTAGTGGAAATATCTGGGCACTGCAGCCTGTCCCTGGATCCACGGGGGGAACATGATTCCTGGGTGACCATCTCTGTGTTTGATTACAGGGAACATTGAATACAGCTGCCCGGCCACCAATGAGTGTGAGATCACGAAACGCAGGCGCAAGTCCTGTCAGGCCTGTCGCTTCATGAAATGCCTCAAAGTGGGGATGCTAAAAGAAGGTAAGACAGAGTCAGAATAAGCATTTTTCTCCGTCCCAACAGTGCTGGGATTCCAGACCTTGCAGAATCTCCCAGGCTAACTACATGCTTGCCCTCTTTGTGTTCCTGAATGTATCTTTCTACAGGCTTTGTAAGAGAGACAGGAGGGGCAGTGACCAAGGGAGCAGTCCAGAGAAGACAGTGGTTCTAGTCAGTGCTCTCATGCTCAGATATTATTTCTAATACTTGCAAATTTGACAAATAACTGAAAACTGGTGGTGCCAGACTCTTTCCTTTCCCAAAGGAGCCTTGGGCTGGAGAGTGTTTCTCTTCTTGCCCCCCAGTAATTTTTCGGTGTTGAGGAGGAGAGGCTCTTTTGTGATCATGACTGGGTTGGCAGCTTTTCATGAGGGAAGGATGGAGTTAATGCAGAGCTGTGGCACAGTGTGTAATGAAGGTTTGCCTGTATTATCACTCAGGAGGCTTCCTGAAGATGGTTGGTAGCATAGGTTTGTCTGGGAGCTGTGGGTCCCCTGCCCTGCATACTCAGCCTGTGTTTTGCTCAGCCTATTGATCTGTTCAGCACTCTTTGAGCAGTGTTCAGCTTCTCTCCTGTGCTGTTTTTCCTCCCACACCCCCCTTTTCAATCCTTGTCCATTCAAGAAGAACCACAGGGAATTCAGTGGCAATTAAACACATTCTTATGGATTGACTTTAAAGGTTTGTTTCCCTTGGGTCCCTCTGGGAAAGGCAGTGAGGGGAGGAGGGGAAGGAAGGAGAGGCACTGCACATAATCCTCTACATTGCTATACCAGCAGAGCCAGGTCCTCTCACTTAACCACAAGAAACAGTCACTGGCTGTGGTTATGCACGAGTCCTCTATGCTGAAGCCAAGATGCCATCATACAACTTTCTTCCAGGTCATAACATCCCAGCAGCTGGTAATAAATTGTACAATGTCAGTTGAGTGTGTATTGCTTCTTGATAGAGCTCTCTCATTTCTTGAGAGGCAAGTTGATGGCAGCCAGTAAGAATGTAGATTAGACATTAAACCCATTTTGTTCTTTAATGGATGTGTAGTTTCTGTGGTTAAATATCTTCCTTCTAGAGCATACCAGTTACCAAGGGGCAGACATGCAAGCTTCTGTAGTTTGGCCCTTCCTGACCTAGGTGTAGAGGTGGTAGACTCAGAGGATCTTGATCTCCTGCTGGGAGGGAGGCACCTACTTTGTAGTTAGAGATCACTGGAAACCTGCTTCTCTTCATGTGGTAGTTCAGGGAGGGGATGTATCCCCTTACCCACTAAAGAAAATATACACTCATGAAACTGGCCTTAGTGGGAGTCCAGGTTAATGCACTGTAGCCTATTCACATGAATCCCATAAAACAACCATAAATGCCTGTAGTGGCTCCAGTCATTCTGCAGAGCAGCAGCACAGGTTCAGGCTTGCTGGCTGCCAGTGTCTGTGCTGTCCTGCTTCTGAGCAGTTGAGCCTCTTGGAGCTGGCAGCTGGGGGAACAGTCACAGGAGCTGGTGCTGGTGTGCTAACTGTGTCAGGGCATCTTTGCTTCCAGTTCTGGGAGTTCAGCACTGTTCAGAGCAGGGCCCTGTGAAGGGTTTTATGCCTTAGCCTCCAAGTTCTGTGAAAACAGTTAACTCTTTCCAGACCAGAGTTAGTCTGGAAAGCAGTGTAAATTCACTCACACCGTGCTGTGCTTGAACTCCCAAACCTTGTGGGATACTGCTCATGGCAAACTGAAATTTGTCACTGTGGCTGCTTTTGTGCTGAAGTGTATTTAGTTATTCTTATAGGGATTGATCAGGCATCATTAAAGTCACTGGGGAAAGGTGGTTTTCTATTGATGTTAGTGTATCTGTGATCCTGCCCATAATATTTAGAGCTGTAGAAAATACAGCATAAAGATTTATTGATAGCAGTGGGATACAAGAGCACATGATAATATCAAGAAGAGCAGAGGAGACTACCCTAGCAATCTGCAAATGGGGGTCATGTGTCCTAACACAGAGTGGTCAAGTGATGTTGGGCAGGCATCTTTTTGTCTTTCTTTTGCTCAGTATCCGAAGCTGAGAAATAAGGGACATACTGCTTTGCTTTGCAAAAGAATTTTGAGGACCAATTAGTTAACTTTATGTGAAGCTTGGTGGAAGCACAAAGTATTAGTATACAGAATTCAATCAATACAAATCTTTAAAAGCCAAATCCAAGAAGGGAGAAAAATGGTGTCACACTATTTGGTGTTCACAGAGCAAAGAGTTTCTAGAAAGAACAAATCCATAATTGTTTGAATTGCTCAAAATGCAGAATTGACAAGGGATTTCAGATTAGAAAAGGTTCATTGGTCTTTTCCATCTCTGATCTGTCATCCTATTAGCTCATCCATCCCTTTTCTCTGCCAAGGCACAAGAGTTCCCAACCGTACCATTCTAGTAGTTTAACTGTTTTTAAAAATCCCTGATGACAGGGTTTCACCAGAGAGCCTATTCTGCAGTCCCCAAACTCTCATTAGGACAAGATATCTCTCGATATTTGGGCTATGATTATTTTCCCTGTTAAGAGATCCCATTCCTACTTTGCCTTGGTGTACCTCTCTCCTCATCCCTGGGTTCATGCATGGCAGAAGGTTGCTACGCCATGTTCTCTGTCCTGCTTGATTATCAAAAGTTTGGAGAAATGCAGACTTTTGGTTAAAGGTAAGATCTAGAAATCAGTTCTTCACAGTTTTCTGCTTGATGTCCTTGGGCAAGCCACAGGGCTTGTAACGTAGTGGGGATGTTTCTGGGTAAAGAAATTATCCTTTTGCTCAAGGAGAATATGATATTTCACTAGTAACTAGTTAAGGGCTTCATGATTTCTTCTCATTTTCCATTATTGTTGTGATACATGATGCCACCTCCTGCCTGCTGGGCATGTTACCTCGTTCTTCGAGCAAAAGGCATCAGTACTCAAATATGGCAAAACAAATAACCATGACTTCAAGGTCTGCTTTACACTTGAAATGCTCAGCTTGATGCTGCAGGAGAGACTTGGTTCCTCCTCTTGGGGACTGCATATAAGGGTCACCAGACATCTCTTCTCCCCACATAGGCTGCTGCCAGGCAAAAAGCTGTGAATGTAGCCCTTTAAGATCCAGAGAGACTGGCCCTAACACAGACGTGCAGGTTATTCAGGCAGTGCCGAGTGAATGAGGATCAGGGCAGGAAGAGAGCCAATGGAGCAATCAATAGGTGTCTCAGATATCCAGGCCACTTTCTTTAAGAGAGCTCTGATCAATGTATTGCAACAAGGGAACTGCACGGACACCAGAGCTTTGCTGTCTCAGGTTCTCCCGGTGTGATGCTGCAGAGCAGGCAAGACTCACTGAGGAAAGTGGCAAGCAGAAAGCTCTGCCCAGGGAGCCAAACTGGCTCAGATGTCTGAAGTTTTGGCCTGTCAGGCTGCCTGTCTCTCACTGTCCCCTTCCATCTGTAGTGTGCCCCCAGGGAGCATTAATTGACCCTAGCATGTAGGAACCTGCTGAATCTGAAGTCCAGCATTCCAGCAGACTCCAGTCCCAGACTCCAGCCCAGTGTTCATGTAGGGATGTGCTGTCCCCAGAAAACCTGTGCTCTACTGCTCTTTGCCTTCCTGAACCACCAGCCTGCAGGCAGTGGAGATGGGCATCTTCATAGCTTTGTCCAGTAGAATTGCATGCCCCTCTGCTCTGCAAAAATCAGGGAAAACTGAGCAACCAGTGATACTGCTCACCCCAAATGAAGTAGATGATATGTCTGATGTGGGGGTCTGGCCAGTGCAGGGAAAGTGTGCCCTGCAGTTTACAGTGGAGAGGCAGCATTGTTCAGAGCTGGGAATCCCAGGGTTTGTCCACTCCATTGCTTGTCTTTGCTCCCATCGCTGTCTGTCTTGTGCCTACAATAAATGTAGATCTTTAACTCTGGGCTCTACAGAGTAGATCTAGATCTTCCTGGATTTCTGGAACGATAGAGAAATTTCAGTTTGGCTGCCCAAAACTCTTTTAAAAACTCAGTATACCTTGTCAGTTTTAGAAGAATATACCCTTGCCATTCATGCTCTAGCCACACATAACCTTTTTGTTCTACAGCAATTTGTTTGTCTTCAAGAGGCAGATGTAACTTCAGATGACATGATGCTTGTGTATGTGGGCTCAGAGGTTTCATTTTGGACATTGATTGGCTGGTTAAACGTGACCTCACAACTTTGCTCTCCACATCTTTGCTGCCTCTCTGATTCTGGGGTACCCCAGGTCCTCCAGAATCTGGGGCATCTTCTCTGACCTTGGTATCTGTAGGGCTGTATCTTCTGTATTTTCTCATGCCTCTCTCTCAGCTGCTTTTACCCTTTCTTGAATGTGTTATCATAGAGGCACCACCAGCATTGCTGAGCTTTGGGCAGTGGTGGGTCCTTTTTAGAGCTGTCTGGAGTGGATATAGGGACAGTTTCTGGTGTCTTCTTACGGAAACCACCCCTGCAGTCTCCTGCTACCCAAACCTTGTCCCATAAATGCAGGACTACCCATGAAAGGGAAATATTCTGAGATCATCAGAAGAGGGATGGGGATAACAGGTGAATTGCAATGAAACATCAAGGCCTCTCATTACAGAACTCATCTTTGGCTGGAAATGATAGAAGGCAAGTGGAGGATAGGCAGTATCAGACATATCAAACCATACCACACCAAAGAGAACAGACTGGCTGTTGTCTGGGTATTTAGTCCTTTCTCTTGTGGAAGCCCTGCAGAATTTTTTCTTCAAAGGATTGTATTGTTTCTAAATTCTTTTTGTGTTGTTCCCTCTTCTGTGCGGCACATCTGCAGAGACCCAAATGGAGCATAAACAGTTCTGAAAAGGAAGCAAAGCTGGGTAATGAAATGCTTTTCATGAAGTGCATGCACATGCAATTGTGTCACATCACAGCAGAAAACCATGCAGCAAAGAAAATGTCTGTAAAACAAATCTCATCCAGGCATTGAAATGCCATTGA